CATACCTGTAGGGAAACAGAGAAATCAAACCTTGAATGGGTTTAACTGGAGACAATTCCATGTAATATGATATATAGTCTATGGTCTCCTATAGACTTGATCCGGTAATGGTATTTCTTCTGGATTTGACAGGTAACACGTGGTACAGGACACGCCCATTTTTTAACTCCTTACACACGGCTGTTTACACGACTGTCTGGGAGTTCTAGACGAAAACAAAATGTATGAAGGTCGTCTAGGCGGACCCAGACGTAAACGAAAATGTTTGGTTTGTTTCAAGATTTAAACGTAGTTAGTTTTGGATCACAACTGCATGTGCTCTTGAAAACACCAAAGAAAGACGTGCATCCCTATTGTCGGGCCAGCCTGCACAACATGACGTGATGACCTGACCAGTGCATGGAAGCTTGACTCTAACCGAATGAGTTTACAGTTAGGGGCGTAGCTAGCCCTTGTTCGGAGTGAATTGATTTAGGAGCTGGTCCAGGGCAGGGTTTGGTAGGGGGACAATGTGGTGCAACAAGCAGTGCTTTTGTTGAACATTTAGTCAGACTTTGTACATTTTTACACCGTTACACCTGGGATAAGTGACAATTCTAACCATTTGTAGAAATAAAAGGCACTGTCAAAAATATAAATGAAATGTTAATCAAGAACCGCATGTCAACTGCTGCAGCTGTTGACAAGACCCAGCCCCCCAGTAACATGGACAAGATACGCACAGAAGTCAGGCTAAGAAGACCTGGTGTGTGACAGTTTCGTGGAATAATAGTATCGGAAAATTGAATTTATTTTCATGTATTTTCATGTTTGTCCACATTTACATTTTTCAAACAAATTTTCAAGCAGAAAACCCCCCACTAAAACACTGCTGGTTGCACAATGAATGTGTGTTCAGCAGTTACGTATGCTGATATAAAATACAATAACAGCAACATCATTGTATTGCAGACTGTCTCAATTTTACAAAGTAACTTCCTGCGATTAACCCACTTGAAAATGATCCCGAGTAAGCTAGATCTTAAAATTCGTACACATGTATTCATTTATACATGTATCCCCCTTGCCCCTTGCCCCCCTACCCTTGGCCCGCTCCTAACTGAGACTGTACATATGTATCAAGTTCTATATATACAATATAAACGCCCTAGAACAGGACAGTTTTACACTTAATCACTCCGTCCTCCATGAATACTGACTCGTCTGTTATCAATATGGAAATCGGAGGTCAGCACAGGCTACAAAGAAAATATCGCTGGACCGCACTTTCCCTACATTATGTATACGAGTTAGCTCCCCTTAGTTTTTAATCAAGATTACATGTATCTACTACAAGGTAATTATATTATATTATAATGAGTCAGCCAATACCAAATTAACACTTATAAACTTTATAAGGATATATCTGACAGATTTATCAATATGGAACCCTTTTGGAAAGAGTTAAATAACCTTACGAAGTAAACTTTGTCACATGTGGGTGCCATGTTGTCAGTGTATAGTGCAATGTTTAAATCTAGGTTTCGTAGCTCGAAGTCCCAATTAATAAGATCACAAAAATAGGTAACGGCAGAGTGTTGTCCGATTGGGTTTAAATGTGTAATGGATAAGGGGAGATAACTCCAAAATATAAATGAGACAACATTCCTTTATACCTTTAAAAAATCATTTTTGAGAATCGCTCCCGGCGCAGAAAGTTAATCATTTTCGTATGACGCACTAAAAATTATTTAAACTAAATTTATAGGATTTCCTGTAATGTCGAATCGACCAACAGACTCATTTGTATGATTTCCTAATATGAAATCAAAATTCTGTTTTGGACGTTGCAAAAAGTTTTACTGTTTAACTCTTCTTCGCGACTACAACTTTTGTTTCGATATCAAGGTTTTTAACGATATTTCCAATTTTTGCAAGATTTTGCGTTTTTGTTAATACCGAAACAATATTTTTTTAAAATCATTGTTGTATTATACTTGTATTATACTACTATAAATCATGAATATCTCTGTTGTTAGTATTTTAATAAGAACACAAAGAAATTATATATTATGAATTTCAATGTAGTGATAGTCCCACCTCATTCATGCTTTTGTTTCCAGTCAAAAAAACGGAACTGACGTCACCACGAAGTTTGCAGTTCCGGTGTTATCAATCACCCCGAGCGAGGAGACAGAAAACCTCAACCTTCAGGTGTAGCCTTCTCCGTCAAGATCAGACAAACGCTTCAAATGATATTAATTTTGTACTAGGCACAAGATGTTACTTTTATCACGTTGACAGAACCAAGGTTTATCTCATTGCTCAAACGAAGCTATCTGGTGGCAGCGCACGTGTATATATACACTGTAAAAGAAAATGTATATGATCGAGAATTTAAAATCTTACCTACTGATTGAACCCTCTGAGAAACGTTCGTCTCCCGAAATTAAACTAGAACTGTAAGTCAAAGGCTTACTAAGGCAAAGCATTACAAAGCAATCAATAGTCTCCCACCAGTACTGATTTCTTTATTGACTGAGCTGTACACATATTTAAGAATACAGGTCTCTGACATACTTCCTCTTATCCCTCCCAATGCGAAAACATACTTGCAAAACAAATCTTGTTAGCCCAGATGAACGAGTTTTGCTGAAATCGTCCTTGTAGTTAAGGAAGAGATGTCGGGACAAAGATTTTTAACAAAGGGCCATAATTCCTTAAAAAGGCCCGAAATGAAAAATAATTACATTATCTGTAAACTTTCACTGAAATCAGCCCAGTAGTTCAGGAGGCAGACAAAGGTTTTTTTCAACAAAGAGTTATAATTCCTTTTAAAAGGGTAGGAATGAAAATCTACTACCTGGATGCACAACGTCAGGGCGCTGTTACCATATCTGTAAAATCTCTTTTAAATTGGCCCAGTAGATTAGGGGAAGTTGTCATGACAAATATTTTTCAACAAAGGGCCTTAACTCCATAAAAAGTGTTGGGAAAATACATGGATGCACAGCACCAGGGTGGAGTTATCATATCTGAAATCTTCCGTTGAAATAGGCCGCATAATGTTGGAGAAGTTGTTCAACAAAGGGCCATTACTCCGTAAAAGAGGGTCAGATTGAAAAAAATATACCTGGATGCATAACATCAGGTGGTAGTTATCATATCTGAAACTTTTCATTAAAATTGACCAAGTAATATTGGAGAAGTTGTGCGGACATGCATTTTTCAGTAAAGAGTAATAACTTTGGAAAAATTGGGTCAGAATGAAAAAATTATACCTGGATGCACAACTCCAGGTGGAAGTTATATTATCTTGAAACTTTCGTTGAAATCGATCCATAGCTTTAGAAGGAGTTGTCCGGACAAAAAGTTTCAGGGTTTTTTCAGCAAAGGGCCATAACGTCGTAAAAAGAGGTCAGAATGAAAAAATACTACCTGGATGCACAAGTTTAGGTGGTAATTATGGAAAAGTTTCATTGAAATTGGTTTACTACTTTAGAAGGAGTTGTCCGGGCAAACTTGTTTCTACGGACGGACAAACTGATTCCAGTATTACCCCTGACACCCCCCTAATTTTGTTGCGGGGGATATAATTATGCTTTGATACGAGACTGCTATTAAAACGATTTCTTGTGTTCCGGGAAATTGCTGGATTTTTACATTTTTACCACCTTGTTTGCGAAATTTTAATTTCCCAAAAAATTCGAATAATTATCAAATATCTTAACATAATAACTGTTCAAAACTTTTTGCTTATTTTACATAATTTAGTTGTTTTTTCCATCTTATTAAAGTAAAGGGTTCCACTCTATCGGCTTTATATTCTTTACTTTGCGTGTTCTTCCTTCTCTATAGAAGATGAAGCAACCAAAAGGATTGTTTTCGTGACTAGGGTACCCATCCTGTCAAGTTACATGTTTTTTCAGTGGTCATTGTTTTCTTTCCGTAAGTTTTGCGGTCCGTAAAATTGGACACTCATTGTGATGCTGCGCACGTATAATTCATTGTTTGCAATTTTGATAAACGGTAGACTTTGCGATGTAAAACTCCTGATTTCGACTCATGCAGATTTTATATTAACTTTCTTTTTTTCTCAAACATTCAAACTTCTTTTCAATATGAATTTACAATAGTGGCATTGGTAATAATTATCAAAGAGTGGGTGATTATTTTTGCTCAGTTTTACAGCCAAGTACAGGCTTCTTCCCTTTGCAAAACAAAAAGTTTTATTTTCCAAAAATAAAGGAAAACTAGGGAATATCTTCCCAATTTCAATAGAAATATTTCTGTAATTTCCCAATTCATGTAGAAACAGACTGGTGTAGAATGAAAGAAGAAAAAACGCCGACAGTTTCACTTGACTACCATTACTTCACATTCGTTGTTTGCCATTTGCGGTGGAGATGGTGACAGGTATTTTGTCATTCATGGAAAATGCCCAACGGCGTATTACTGTTCCTATCATAAGAACAAATGGTTTTTGTCATCGCCCGAAGAGATGTATAAACCTTTAGTAATGTGTGCTGTTTAGGTTGCTGCCCCCAAGGCACCACCCATAAACATTGCTCATGAAATATGATCCCAACATCGGGGTTTTCCATTTATTCTGGCGTACTGTTCAAGGTTGTTTTTTTCTGTTTTGTGATCAGGCAAGGGAAACTAAATGAAATTATTACAATTAGATTCTACTGTGATAAACGTCCTTCGACTACACAATATAGCATATATAGCAATATCTAGCTTTTCGGCTGTTGTCGTGAAAAAAAGAGAGAGAAAAAGACGCTACATGTACCTAGATTACAGCGTAGCATATATCAATTAAGCTTCAGGATTCATGTCTCAAAACAGAATATTGAGCCCCTGAAACTTTCAATCCCAGAATACGTTTCTTCAGGAAATGAACCAATAGTTGATGTGTGCAAGATGTTTAAACTCTGTACATTTGTTACCGCTTTTTATATATGACGGTCATGCCATACCAGGGTGTTTCATTGTTCAACAAATATAACAATACAAAATTTATAATTTTTACATGTAAGCATTTTGTATTTTAAAAAAAGGACATTCACACTTTTGAGTACAACATTCTATACATTTGATAAAATTGGAATTTTACTGTCTTTTGAAATTGTCTTTTTTTCAAACTATTTTCCAAACAAGTTCATCCACTGTCGCATATGATTTGCGATATCGTTGTTTACAGGTGGTGCACTGAGGGTTGTACTGTTGAAGGGGAACCCCATGCCTGAGTTCTGCATATTCGGCATGAAATGTCCTTGTCTACCGGTTCCGTTGTTTGGTGCCAGTAAGTTTCTCATCAAAGTAACCCAAATACTGGGGTTGTTTAAGTTGGCTTCCGTTTGAGGTGGGACTGGGGTGGTAGGTGGTTGAGGAGGGAAGTGTTCCGGGTCGAATGTACATTCCCCAAGTTGCTGCATAGGTTTGAGAGTTCTTGCTGACACACAGACAGAATTAAGCGCGTTTTCGATCTTGATCAGTTGCTCCGGAGTGTGGCCGTTCTGCATCCTGTTGAGCGTATAAACTGCCTCTTTACTCGGATCACAATATCCGGACTCGGGCAGTACTTCGTCACAGCCGTACGTGACCGCGTATCCGTCATAGTCTGTGCTGACCACCCACATGGAATCCCCGGGCAGTTTGTATTGCGTGTGGAGGTAGTCAAATTTAGTGAGGTTGGACTGAGGCAGAGGTACCGCTGAATGGATACTGTAGAAACAGCCATGTGGAGCCCTGCTGCGACCTGTGTAGGACAAAGACAATGTTTTATTACAATCAAAGTTTTGATATGAAACGATCGTTGAGTTATATTCTGATTTTTTTTTATTTACACCTAGCCCATCCCAGATACAATAAATGCATCAAAAATATTGGCGTGGCAAGTGCAACCTAATTATTTACTTTTGCATATGAAAAAACAATAATGTGTAATCAGTTATATTTTGCATAACCTATGCTATTAACTTTTGCATATTTTTAGATATGTAAATGTCGACGATATTCTCATATGCACAATTCGATTTTTGCATTTCCCATTTGCAATGTTATGTCTGCGTATTCAAAGATTTTTGATTTATACATCAATTGTCGCGGATCATAATACTGCATTTCCTTTGTACATATATAATAATGGATTGGAATATCATTGCTACAACGAATATATATCTTATACAAATGTGTATTTATTTTTTTGAATGCATGTGATGGCCGATGTACAATTTGTTTGGTGATGAGACATACGTATTGTAAAACAAGTCATCAACCCGTCACAATTGTTCTTCATATGTCAACAACTAACATTTTCCCGTCTTAAGTTTTATTAATGAACTTAACATTGCCGCCTCATTACTGATTTGTGACCAAACATTGCCCCGTCGTAACATTTGCGACCAAACATTGCCCCGTCGTAACATTTGTAACCAAACATTGCTCCGTCATATTATTTGTTATCAAACATGGTCCCGTCGTAATATATCTGCAGCCAGACATTGTTCTCATCGTAACATTTGCAACTAAATATTGTCCCCATCGTAACATTTGTAACTAAACACTGCCCCTGTCGTAACATTTGTAACTAAACATTGCTTTCCTTATAACAATTATAACCAAACATTCCATATCTTATACCAAATTATTGTGCAATCGAGTTGTTTACAAGTCGTTATTAACCTCGTGTGTACTTACTGGCCATGACCTCGAGCCTTCCGAAAGGCAACATAGTGAAGTGAAGATGCATGTTCATCGTCTCTCCGGCGATGGCGTTCCAGAACACAGACCCTGGTATCTTGGACGACACCACATACCAATACCCCTCAAGCGCCGTCATGTTGAAATCAGACTGCATCTTAAAGTCGAAAGTTTTACAGGACGACTGGCCATAGCCTAGACCGCACACTGCCAAAACGACAGCCACACACAGAAACATTCTTAGCAAGAACAGCTCCACACGACCCAAAAACCTGACCCGTTCCTGACTGGTTTGACAGTGACGACGAATGACCAAAAAATGCTAACCCGCTCTGGTTATAACTCTCGTGACATGCGCAGTTCCTCCGTTTGATGTGCGTATATTGTGATGGGACGTCTATGGGCATGTTTACACATAAACAATCGATCACGTCATATTCTAGACTAGACGTCCCCACTGACAGGTAAAACAGCGCTGGTCATCTGTCCAGTCTGAGACTTGACGGATCAGACCAGATGACCCGTAGTTTACACTCGTTTAAAACTTTGAGAGCGAGCATTTTCAATATGTCACTATCAGACATTCACGCTTACCTCGATTTACGATTAAATGACAATATCTGTGTGCTACAAATTTTGACAATGTCTGAAGATGTGTAAGGAACATTTGCACATGGTCAAACATCCAAGATGGCTTCCATGACAACTAATTTGACTTTTGTTTAGGGGGAAAGGGGGATTTTGAAATTGTCAAAGCTCAAGAAGCACTTATGTTACTATATTTATTTTTAGATACCTTTAACTACCCATTGTTTCGAGATCAAAGGTCAAATTTAAGGTCTTGCTGTAGAGTCATTTCAAGGTCAAAAATAAAAATTCTCAAAATTATTTAAAATGTAAATAAAGGGTTGGTTCTAATCAAGGGTTTGATGGTTTATTTTTTATTTTTTTTACATAACTGTATGTCACAATTAAATCCTGTTTAACTTATTAACGATTTTATTTGGATGTTTTCAAGATCATTTTTGATAAATGTAGCCCGTGATTTAGAATCGTCCTGCTAAAAATGATATACATGTTTTGTTTTGAAGTTAACATGGTGGGCCCTGGTTCGTTCATTGGAGCTATCATTCATTAGGTGCAGATGACCGTTAAGTGGACAAAGTCCAGACGAAGGTTGACAGGTGACGTATACCTTGACATTAATAGGATAGTATAACTGCCCACGACTTGGACGAAATTATGACTGACCGCTCCATCATACACTGGTCATTATTAGATGATGTTTGTTGTTATTGACATGATGGACCACGTGGAGGTTCTGTATGTTTGATGGATGGCGCACGAGAACACAGGTGTGGACATCTAGTTTATAAATCCGCTAAGGTTCTCGATCTCACTACAGGCGAAACACTAGAGAGTTCCACATAAGTTTTTCGTATATACAGTAACCTCCTTAATTTACTTTGATATAACTGTAGTTCAACTTGGCAAGATTGCTACCGTTGACCAGGAAGTCATGATCGTTTGGTTAGAGAAACAGTTTTTTAGAGGTCCGCCGTTCGAATCCTGACCCTGTTCGTTAATATTGTTTTTTAAGGTAACCTTTTCGGTAAAAACCCTGGCAAAACTGCAAAAGTTTATGCAGGCCTTGCAAGGCTTTGTCAAAGCTCGCCAGAAAACAGCATCTGGTTACTAGGTCCGACCTTATTTCATAAACGAACAACTTTGATCCAACCGGTACGGCCCAGCTGGTCAAGCTCCGTTGCAACTAACATCCAGAACATTGGTGTGTTTTTTTTAAATATTTTATTCTTTTTCTTTTTTATTTCACCTGTATTTTCTTTTCATAAAAGTTTCGCAAGGTTTTCTATTCAAAAATGATTTATCAAACAATAGCCATACCGGAAAAACCGGTTTCACTGCATGATTACAGATTTCGGCAGTGTTAATGGGATCCTTGATTCGGTTGATATATTCTACGCAATAACTTTATTTATTTAGATATAAGACGATTCCTACAAAATACTTATCGTAGAACGAATTACCAAGATTAATTCTGTTAAGAACTGGTGACGATATGTGTAAATTTTAGGGACAAGGTACACTTGTACGTTACATTATTAATGTATGGTACTTTTTTAATGATAACAAATGCTATAGCTTACCTGCAGGAAATACACTTTTTGCAATAATTGATCTTAATTGTAATTAACCAGAAAAAAATATCAATACAATTCTGTGTCGTTTGCCAGAAAGGTATGTGGATAGTTAATTCCCTAAAGAACTCCCGCCTTGTTATAAGCTCGTGAGACGATATATCAAAATAGCTTGCTCGAATTACATCGACAAAGTAAATTACATAGACAAAGTACATTATATTCAATATATTGTGTATGATACGTATTTTAATGATAGCGAAAAGCAAGGCGGGTAAATAAATTCCCTGAGGCTAAAGATTTTTTCGCCCTCTTTTAAGTACATGTTATATTGTCAGTAGGTATTTTTTCTGTTTTTTAATAATATATTCTACTACATAGATTGACCATTTTCATCCGCTTCTCGAACAAATTCAATCTTCATCATAAGTTGGCTTTATTTGTTTTTGTTTTATTGTACATATATCAAAATGGTTTTGCATAGATTATCTCCCTTGTTGGGAGAGAGGGAAAATTTAACGAATATTCAAACAAATCACTAGTGTGGCAATATGATAAACTGGACGTGATCCACCAAGCAAGTTAATTTCTTACAAACGTAGCTGCAAAATATCTGTTTAAACATATCTTTTTCAACAACATTTGTGAGAAATATAGTTGGTTTGGTGGCGATTAAATCCACCAAGCAAGCAAGGGAGATAATCCATACGGAATCATTTTGCTATTTTGAGTACTTCTTTGTTTGATTTAATTTTTCATAATAAATTATTTCAGTAGTCTGGCAAGTTTTCTGAAAAAAAATGGGAAAGAAAAGGGAAAATCGGTCAAAAGCCATTGGAGGCAAATTATTTTAGAATGCTTCACGCTATCACTTGGTTAGCTAAATATGGCATTTTTACATGTCATAGGAACGTCGTGTCATAAATCAACGACAAAACAATTTTGCTTTCAAATAAACCTTTTAAAGTCTGTCTACTGCTGACGATTAAATGTAATAGCTGTTCCGTTGTGTCATGTTTGGTTAATTCCAGTCAGTAATCTTACCGTCTGTATACTGCTGGGCACAGCCGGGGCTCGTGGGCACTCTGTATGTACTGCACATTTACACGCCCGAGGTCCCGTGCACTACATCCGTCATTTCCATGTTACTCCCGGGGCTGTGACCAAAGATCGTCGTTTATTATCCCTAGCAGCCGATTCCATTTGCTTCTGAATTATAATATATGTATATAATACAGACTCAGCCACTTGACTTAATTTCCCCCCCATTTTTGTAGATGTTTATCATTTTACATGTATTTTTAAAAAATATTGCGCATTCAACATTTTTACCTCTTGCATCCGGCGACGAGTATTTTTTAGACGGGACATGCATGTCCGGTCACGATCGTTGTTAATTATTTTGTTTAATAACATCGCCATTACGAGCGCAATCCTAACCGCGAAACGGCTCAAAGCCATCCTCGAAATTCCAGGGGTATGATATACAAAAATATATTTGTCACATACAGTGGTTAAATTGTGTCATTTCGTTGGTTCGTCTTTTCACCCCGACGAGATTTAAAAGCCTTTAATTACCTCTCGTTGTTTCCTCTTTTCATGGGGAACAGATGAAAGAGGTTAATTCTAGTCTTTTCGGGGGCAAGACGAAAGAACGAGAATTATGCCTAATTATTGATCATCGTCTTTTCGGGGCGAGAAACAACGAGAATTAAAGTTGTTTTTCGTCTTTGAGGGCGAAAAGACGAAACTGCGAGAGTTTGTTTATTTTTAACATGTCACTTGCATTCTTTGCCCGAGGTCGTAAGTGATCGTAACCCATGGAATTTCGAGGATATCTAGAGACCAGTGATGGTGATTGGCTCTTTAATTTCAACGTTGTGTACTTAGTATTTAATGTTAGAGACTGAAAAGGCAACGCATCTCTCGTGAATCAAATAATGGAGTACATCATTCATTATATCCTAAATATAGAGAAGCTCCTGTTTTGCTAGATTAAACCCACATTATATAAATATGCGCATTACTTACCCGATCTTGCAAAAAATCGATTAAAGACACATTACCAACTCAATTCTACAGGCTTTCGAAGTCTACCTTTCCCATAAGACCATAGCACTGAGAACGGAAGATGTAGATCATAAACTTCACTTGTCCATAAAACCCCATGCAAGAATTGTCCTTCATTATCTATAACCTTATACGTGCAATGGTCATCAGCGGTCGTGTGTACGTGTATCGCACACCAACAGCTGTTTACATAAGAAAATGCACATGCATCGTTTTTAAACAGTTTCACACGTGTACCATATGTAACTCATGTACACATATCGTCGACATGCAGTATTCACGACGTGTAACGTTTAACTTGAATCGTCCACGTGTTTATCAAGAATCATACATGTGTCTATCAAGAACCATACACGTGGATCATTTATCAAAAATTGTACAAGAACCGTACACGTATATCATCTAACAAGAACCGTACACGTTTATCATCTAACAAGAACCGTATACGTATATATTCTAACAAGAACCGTACACGTATATCATTTAACAGGAACCGTACACGTATATCATCTAACAAGAACCGTACACGTATATCATCTAACAAGAACCATACACGTATATCATCTAACAAGAATCGTACACGTTTATCATCTAACAAGAACCGTACACGTATATCATCTAACAAGAACCGTATACGTATATATTCTAACAAGAACCGTACACGTATATCATCTAACAAGAACCGTAGACGTATATCATCTAACAAGAACCGTACACGTATATCATTTAACAGGAACTGTTCACGTATATCATCTAACAAGAATCGTAAACGTATATCATCTAACAAGAATCAAACACGTATATCATCTTACAGAAACCGTACACGTATATCATCTAACAAGAACCGTACACGTATATCATCTCACAAGAACCGTACTCGTATATCATCTAACAAAAACCGTACACGTATATCATCTAAAAAGAATCGTACACGTATAGTCTTGTGAAATATATTCTGACGTTTATCATCTAACAAGAACCGTACACGTATATCATCTCACAAGAACCGTACTCGTATATCATCTAACAAAAACCGTACGTATATCATCTAACAAGAATCAAACACGTATATCATCTTACAGAAACCGTACACGTATATCATCTAACAAGAACCGTATACGTATATATATCCTCTAACAAGAACCGTACACGTATATCATCTAACAAGAATCGTACACGTTTATCATCTAACAAGACCCGTACACGTATATCATCTAACAAGAACCGTACACGGATATCATCTAACAAGAACCGTACACGTGTATCATCTAACAAGAACCATACACGTATATCATCTAACAAGAATCGTACAGGTATATCATCTAACAGGAATCGTACACGTATATCATCTAATAAAAACCGTACACGTATACCATTTAACAAGAACCGTACACGTGTATCATCTAACAAGAACCATACACGTATATCATCTAACAAGAATCGTAAACGTATATCATCTAACAAGAATCGTAAACGTATATCATCTAACAAGAATCGTAAACGTATATCATCTAACAAGAACCGTACACGTGTATCATCTCACAAGAATCGTACACGTTTATCATCTAATAAAAACCGTACACGTATATCATTTAACAAGAACCGTACACGTGTATCATCTAACAATAACCGTACACGTATATCATCTAACAAGAACCGTATACGTATATCATCTAACAAGAACCGTACACGTGTATCATCTAACAAGAATCGTACACGTATATCATCTAACAAGAACCGTACACGTGTATCATCTCACAAGAACCGTACATGTATATCATCTAACAAAAACCGTACACGTTTACCTTCTAACAAGAACCGTACACGTATATATTCTAACAAGAACCGTACACGTATATCATCTAACAAGAACCGTACAGGTATATCCTCTAACAAGAATCGTACACGTATATCATCTAACAAGAATCGTACACGTATATCATCTAACAGGAACCGTACACGTATATCATCTAACAGGAACCGTACAGGTATATCATCTAACAAGAACCGTACAGGTATATCCTCTAACAAAAATCGTACACGTATATCATCTAACAAGAACCGTACAGGTATATCATCTAACAAGAATCGTACACGTATCTCATCTAACTGGAACCGTACACGTTTATCATCTAACAAGAACCGTGCACGTGTATCATCTAACAAGAACCGTACACGTATATCATCTAACAAGAACCGTTAACGTGTATCATCTAACAAAAACCGTACACATATATCATCTAACAAGAACCGTACACGTATATCATCTAACAAGAACAGTACACGTATATCATCTAACAGGAACCGTTCACGTGTATCATCCAACAAGAACCGTACACGTATATCATTTAACATGAACCGTACACGTATACCATCTAACAAGAACCGTACACGTATATCATCTAAAAGGAACCGTTCACGTGTATCATCTAGCAAGAACCGTACACGTATATCATCTAACAAGAACAGTACACGTATATCATCTAACAAGAATCGTACACTCATCTAACAAGAACCGTATACGTATATCATCTAACAAGAACCGTACACGTACATCATCTAACAAGAATCGTACACGTTTATCATCTAACAGGAACCGTACACGTATATCATCTAACAGGAACCGTTCACATATATCATCTAACAAGAACCGTACACGTATATCCTCTAACAAGAATCGTACACGTATATCATCTAACAAAAACCGTACACGTATATCATCTAACAAGAATCGTACAGGTATATCATCTAACAAGAATCGTACACGTATCTCATCTAACTGGAACCGTACACGTTTATCATCTAACAAGAACCGTTAACGTGTATCATCTAACAAAAACCGTACACATATATCATCTAACAAGAACCTTACTCGTATATCATCTAACAAGAACCGTACACGTATATATATCCTCTAACAAGAACCGTACACGTACATCATCTAACAAGAATCGTACACGTTTATCATCTAACACGAACCGTACACGTATATCATCTAACAAGAACCGTATACGAATATATATCCTATAACAAGAACCGTACACGTATATCATCTAACAAAAACCGTACAGGTATATCATCTAACAAGAACCGTACACGTATATATATCCTCTAACAAGAACCGTACACGTACATCATCTAACAAGAATCGTACACGTTTATCATCTAACACGAACCGTACACGTATATCATCTAACAAGAACCGTATACGAATATATATCCTATAACAAGAACCGTACACGTATATCATCTAACAAGAACCGGACACGTATATCATCTAACAAGAACCGTATACGTATATATATCCTCTAACAAGAACCGAACATGTATATCATCTAACAAGAATCGTACACGTTTATAATCTAACAAGAACCGTACACGTATATCATCTAACAGGAATCGTACACGTTTATCATCTAACAAGAACCGGACACGTATATCATCTAACAAGAACCGTATACGTTTATATATCCTCTAACAAGAACCGTACACGTATATCATCTTACAGGAACCGTACACGTATATCATCTTATAGGAACCGTACACGTATATCATCTAACAAGAACCGTATACGTATATATATCCCCTAACAAGAACCGTACACGTATATCATCTAACAAGAACCGGACACGTATATCATCTAACAAGAACCGTATACGTTTATATATCCTCTAACAAGAACCGTACACGTATATCATTTAACAAGAATCGTACACGTTTATCATCTAACAAGAACTGTACACGTTTATCCTCCAACAAGAACCGTACACGTATATCATTTAACAAGAATCGTACACGTTTATCATCTAACAAGAGCCGTACACGTATATCATCTAACAGGAACCGTTCACGTGTATCATCTAACAAGAACCGTACACGTATATCATCAATCAAGAGTCGAACATATTTTTCATCTATCAGGAATCCTGCACATGTTTTATCTCGCTACAGTTCTCACTTAATGTGTTAAACGACTATAGAAACTGTTATAATTCCTATGTCACAGAAAATATAGTTAAAATTCAAGATAAACAATATTTTATTTTGTAAATAACAGTGGATATCCCGACATAATGAAATGTAAAAGGCGACACAAAAATCAAGAATGGTTTATATATTACTAATTTACAATCTTTATAACTTTATTTTACCTTTAAATTTTACAGATTGGTCGTCAGTCTTGTGACGGTAATAACAATGTTTTCTATATCGTTGCTACACTTTTGTATACGCGCGATGATGAATACCTTGGAATGTGTCGACAGCTGGGAAGGCGATCTCTGAATCATACTACAGGACACACACACATAGGTAACAGTTATTCAATAACTACATGTAGATCATACACATTCATTGATTCTTCTAATAAGCAATCTGAGGCAGCCTGTATGCAGACACTAGAGTTAGGCGGATACTGGACAAAGCAGGAATATGGCGAGCAATGACCGTCGCACAGCTCTTGGTGGTTGCATTCACGGAGTTTCAAGACGGTTCCAAACTACACAATTTTTATTTGTCGTGTCTGACGATTTTCTTATTCAAAACATGCCTTTTTACCCTTTCAAATTTATTCGGACTAGCTTCCTTTTCTGGCACCTTCGGACCCCCATCTCATATCTGGAGGTTCTGCCCCATCTGCTGTCACGAAACCACATTCGATTTCAATTATTCACAATTATTCAGGATTTTTTTTTTTTATGTAATTACATTTTTTCGTTTTCAAGTTAAAAAAATAATCTCCGCGGACAGGTCAAGCGTGCGTATTAATCAAGTTCTGATGACGTCATAGTCATCGCCATCCGTTCCTAACATCATAAAAATGTTCTAAAACCTGACACCACAACGTCCAGAACATAACTTTGGCGATTGGCAATACGCTAGAATATGAAAAGAAGGATAAGCCACACTATTTTTAACTTATTGTGTTTTCTTTGTCTCGGCTACACGATCAGTTTTAGCAATACAACAATACATTAAAACGCCTAGAATTAAAAACATAATGACCGCTATGACCAAAAATGGAATTAAACCTAATCCTCCGGATGGGAATTTATCTGGATCAAATTTACAACTTCCGTTTTGTTTAAACGTTTTGAAATTGTCTGGTTGGACGCACATCCGTTCCACTGCCATTTTTATTTTCTCTTCCTGTTCCGGTGTGTGTCCGCCTCGCTTTCGGTTCAGTGTCCACATGTATGTGTAGTCAGGGTGGCACGTGCCATCTTCCCGTTCTTTCCAACACGAGTAGATGACGGCGAATCCCTCATAGTCTGTGCTGACAACCCAGTAAGGGTTCTTCCTCGAAGTCCTCGTGAGTAGTGTGTCAAACTGGACTTCGAGCTTCTGGGGCTGAGTTTTGTCCGGGATGTATCCTTTCCCTGCTATATAGTCACAGAATGGAAACATGAACTCGCCACCTAAAACCAAATGAGTTTAACATATTTAGGTGTGGCTCAGTGACGACAAACTTGATGTAAGCAATGACAGATCCCTCGAGAGAGCTCAAACGATTTCTTTTTAATAAAAATGTACGTTTTTGTGTCAATTTATTGAAGGAAATGTCACTTGTCACTGGCTCCAGACCTTATGGTGTAAGATCTACCATTGGTACATGGTACAGACCAAGAACGGTAACTCTCATAAACTGCATAGTCAAAATGTGTTGAACACTGCCGAGCTCTTTTTTAAAAACTGATTATTTAATGCTCGAACAGGGTCATCCTCGATTTCCAGGGGTTACGCTCACGTTCGCTCTCTACACCCCTGGAATATGTCATGGCAAAATTGAAGGCTCGGTGTGCGCCACCTTGTTGATGAGACAAGAAGACTAGTTTGATCCTTTGATGTACATCAGAAGAATCTCGCGGTCAAGTAACGGTAAAAATTGACAGGCTTTGAAGTCGGGCGTCACTCCTTTGTAATCTTCAAAGGACGGATATCAGCCTAGCGATTGGTCAGTGTTATTTTACCGGAGACCAATCAAACAGCTATCTTCGTGTGCCTTTAATTTTGCCATGACATATCCCAGGGGTGTAGAGAGCGAAAGGGAGCGTAACCCCTGGATATCGAGGATAGAACAGGGTATAACCTTTGGATGTATTGATTGATCGTCACCATGTAATACAAATATCAATGTTATGCTGTAATTACTTGATACTAATTTGCACCATATCCACATAGATATCATTCGGATAACTGGAATTTGTCAAATAGTCTGACTGTATCTCTGAAAAGATACCTATGTGCGGAATCAATTAGGCCAAACTATGATATATATTAAATATACTGATCAATATACAAACCTATCCAGTGTGTAAATATGTATGAGGGTTTTGAGCAGGAAATGCGTTGTCCAAACAAAGATTGGTATCACAACGCGAGCTTGTATAATTGCTCGATGTCCATTAAATGATCAGAGCAGTCAAGTGTAGGGACTGGGTTACAAACCTGTTTTCACTTCCAGACTGCCGTCAGACAGCAATCTATAGTTGACCTGGACATTTGACTGGCGGACAGGGAACCAGCGAGGGACGGCTAGCCAGTAACGGTTGATAGTCAAGGAGTACCAGTACCCCTCGAATTGGGCCAGGTTGAAGTCCGGCTGGAGCTGGAACGAGCTCAGGCGACAGTCCCGCTCCGCCCCAGTGTCCGGGACCAGAGGTTGACTTTCTCGCTGGGGCTCCGAGTCCAACACGGGTTCAGTCTGTGTGTTCGACTCGGGAACGTCCACAGTGTCTTCGCTCAGAGCAAAAGACACGAAAAATGAACAGCCAAGCAAACAAACCCAAACGAAATTTGGAGTCTTCATTGCGAAACGTTTGAGGAACGTGTACCGAGGTTGTGGCTGAAAGTGGGTTTTCTTATTGATTTGGTAACATGTGGTGTGTTGTATGTCTATTGTAACTGTTGAGTCAGTATATTGTACAGCCGGGTAAACTAGACGTAGTAAGCAACACATGTGCCCGCTCAATAACACAAGTTTTGTCCTTGTAAAAGCGTCAACCGTGACCGCAACTAACCGGTGTAACACGAAATAGATGCCCCTATGAAAATAACACCTAACCTACTTGCTGAGCGGAAAGTGTTTACCTGTTATTCTCTAACTATATTAAAGTTTGAAGTGTGACCACCGTGTAGCATGGCTAGTGGTACAATATCTTGTTATGAAAATACACAAGATGAATTCCAGCTGCATGTCACTATTGTCAGCATTGATGAAAAATAAACGTTTCTTATTTTGCAATAATTGTGAAACAAGTTCGCTCAATTGATATATTACATGTGTATATTATTGTTGGCGCGGATGATAGTGCGCTTATACGGAAGCCAGTTAGTGCCACATCAGTGAAGTAAACAAAAAATGTCGTAATTACGACATAGCTATCTCGTAATTACGACTTAATTATCTTGTAATTACGACTTAGTATGTCGTACGACATAAAAGTTTAACTTCATGTGACACTAACCGGCTTCCGTACGCTTATGGGTCTATGGGGAAGCCCAGGTGACTCGATACCTTTTCAAGTCCTGTCAGGGAAAAGAATCGGTTATCCAAAGTTATGACCAAAAAAAAAAATGATTTTTTTTATAAAAGAATGGAGAAACAATCTCCTGACTATTTAATATGCTTCAAAACCTCATCTATTGGTTGTAAGCTGAACCGCTTTCGTTTGTCACGTTCGATTCTGGCAAATGGTTTGACCAGTTATAACAGATAGAAGTATTCGTTTATGTAAGGGATGTAACGATTGATTTGGCCCAGTTGTTCAAAAGATGATTAGCTTAATCAGTGATTAGCGCAAATTTTAATTTTTGTGTAACTTTAATACAAAACTATTAAATTAAATACAACTTTCAATATATCAAATATTTAGTAGAGTGAATTCACATGCAAATATGTGAAATTTTACCTTGTATATTGACGAAATTATCAAAGGTTGAAAAATGTCTTTAAACATTGCAGGGGCGGTTCCAGGTGAGGGCGTAATGGGCGTACGCCCCCCCCCCCCCCCCCCCCCCCCCCCTTCAAAAAAATACAAAAAACTATCTTAATCTGCTAATATTGTATTGAATACGGCAATTTAGCATATTCAAACATGTATTCTACATTAAAGTCTACAATATTTTTAGAACGAAAGAACTTTATACTTCAGTGTGTGTTTGTCTTGTATCATGTGTGTCGTTTAACGAAACCAGAACTTAATCTAAAATAGAGAAATATGCATCAGTCTGGCTACTTCATAATTTGATGCTAAATTGTTGAAATCCAGGAGCTTCTGGGCTTCCCCATGGACCCTCTACCAGGGCAACTATAATTACGCCTCCCGTTCATAAAATCCTGGCCTAGGACTATTGAAATGTTAAGTAACGCCTTATACCCTAGAATTTGGACTTTTTCGTTATTGGTCTACTGCTGTTAAGATCCATCCAATCATTTTAATATACCCTAGACAATTAATGGAGAGAATTCGGCATAAAAAATGTCAAACCCTGACACTTTAACTATTAAATATATATGCTCCAAGTCAGGAACCGTAACATTAGTGCATTTCACAATTTTTTTTATGTTTTTCAGCAAAAAAAAGGTCCAACATTTTTTTCGCCTCGCTCCGCTCGCCGAAAGATTTGATTCTTCGCCCCCTCTTTCAAATATCCTAGAAACGCCCCTTCATGATTAAGCTAACCACCTTTTGAACAACTGCCTCAATAACTGATGCTTGCAAGTGTTACATGGCGGATACATAACAGCAGTTCTATCATTAATTATAATTAAAAGTTCAACATAAAACAAAGCCCTCTATAGACCATCTATACAACGCCACTCGAATGTAAATGTGAAAAACGTCTATTACAACCCGCTAGCTTTAGTTCACGAAGTACTTCAAAACACCACGATCGTGCTGTACGTGGGCGTTGGGCAAGGAGGTTTGCCTTCAGCATATTGATGGTATTTAAACTATACGCTCTGTGATGATTCTCCTATAAAACGAGACATAAAACGTACTGTCAAATGTGTGTCTCTTAGTCAATATTTGGTTTACTTTCCATTTGCATAACATACTTTCGCAGATGTTAAGGTGTGTTATTATGGTCAATAATTTGGGAAATAGTTGTCGTACAAGTCGTTTTGGATGAATTTACAATGGCCATTGGCTTTAATATGGATGCAAGGTATTCACAGGCAGACAAACCGTCGGTTTGAAATAGTGATTTACATAAGTAAGTTACGCACAACCTCAAACATAGGCTGACGAGAGCCAGTCTGTGTAGACACAGTAAGAAATATCCTACTGGTGTTTGTGGGGTATACATTTGAGGGTGATGGACTACGAATGTGAGCTAGCTTCAGACGATCAACGTGAGTTTGTCGAGAAAAGTGTTTCTTCTGCTGGGGATCAAGTAAACTCACCATTGACTATAATAATACTTCTTCATGAACCGGTCGCCGCTTTCGCCATATATACATTGCCATCCTGCTCAAGATAAAGATAAGAGCGACCATCATTTGAACGTTCCGTCCATTGCCTCATATCTAGTCTTAAGTATATACCTTATGATCATCTATGTTCAGCTCTACTTCATCCGACATTGTTGTTGTTTTGTCGGTTCCGGGTGTATGCCTTCAACATTCTACTTGCTGTGTTTCAGTGTCATAAACTTCATGACGATTCTTGAAGTTGTCCAAGCAATTTTAAAACCATATATACTTTTAGTTCTAGCAATTTTCTCTGGTAGGTTTTGTTCCATATGTCAACTACTCGATTAGTGTAGAAATCGTTCGCATATCATGTCTGAGTGACTCCTGGTAGTATAGCTGTCATTGGGTCGAAACATCCCTCCTGTTACTCTGCTGCCATAGATATCGTATAATGTAGTATCTTGAAGGTCTGTTTGTTTTGCTTTGTACATCTGTACTTCTATACACGATTTCGAAACTAAGATGCTTATCCATCCCCACACCGATATCCTTTTCATCCTCAACTATCTCCAAAGTTACCCGGTAGCTTTCGTACCGTACTAATATATACTAATAAAAAACAAAGTATGTACGAGCTTTACTTGACCAGTGTTTCGCAGCAATGGGTGCGCAGCACCTTATACACTTATCGGGATGAACTTCATCATGCTGTTTAAGTTAGACTGTTCAACTCCCATGCTGTTAAGTCAGACTGTTCAACCTCCCATGCTGTTAAGTCAGACTGTTCAACCTCCCATGCTGTTCAAGTCATACTGTTCAACCGCCCATGTTCAACCTCAGCATCACCTTAACAATCTTCCATATGATGTATTTAAGTGTCGTTCGCAAAAAGCAGTACATGCGATTTCACATTTACCGGAAGTTGGTTAATGAAAAGGACAAAGAGAATCGGCCCCAGGACTGAGCCTTGAGGGATTCCACTCGTCACATGATGCCACATTGAGAATAATTCGCCATTTACACACACTCTTTGCTTCCTGTCACACGTCGTAAGGCTGACAGGACTATAATTGGATTGCGAAATTTTATCTCCTTTCTTGAATAAAGCTGAAATAAAACCTTCCTTCAATTACTTTGGTACAATGCCAGAATCAAATGACAAGTAAAATAAATTGAATGCACTATGGTGTATGAGTTACATTGGCGAGTACCTTTAGTACAGCTAGATGAAAAATGTTAGATCCTGGAAACTTAGATGTGTGTTGATCTTATAGTAGATTTATTACATCCTCCTCCTGAAATACAACATAACTTAAACTTTCCTCTATACCATGTCTGTATCCGCATCTGGAGTGTCCTTTTCCTTTTATCCGGTCAACACACTGTTGAAAAAGTCCTCCGGAATAACCGTCTTAGCTGTTTCTGTACTGCCTATTACCTATTCACCACTCACATCTGTACGTAGTTCTGATATTCCAAACTTTACTTTCCGCTTGCAGTTTACATATTTCCAGAATTTCTTTGCTGTTACTTTTGGCAGATTCAGCCATGTTCTTTTCCCGTGTTCCCCGTCCTTGTGAATGACATGTTTAAGATTATAACTTTGCTTTGGTATTCCTTTAACCTATCCCTAAAGTTTCCATACATTTTCTCCATAGCCTATATTTATGCCTGATACACTAAACTATCGTGACATCCAGCGGACTGTTTCCTTTATGAGGTTTGTTTCTTTTGGTTGGTTAATTTTCCCTCATAGCTTTCATAATTGAATTGGTGAATCACTACATATGTCTTGCTCCAACTCCCAAAAACGCATCCTCGATATCCATGGGCTTCATACTTATATATACGCTCACTTTCGCTCTCTACACCCCTGGAATATGTCATAGCAAAATTGAAGGCACGAAGATAGCTGTTTGATTGGTCGATTTTTACCGTTACGTGACCGCGAGATTCTTTTGATGTATATCAAAGAATCGAACTAGTCTTCTTGTCTCATCAACAAGGTGGCGAACACCGAGCCTTCAATTTTGCTATGATATATTCCAGAGGTATAGAGAGCGAAAGTGAGCGTAACCCCTGGATATCGAGGATGCCAAAAACGAAACCCAATCACGTGTCATCGCATGTCTCAACACCCAAGGGTCTGCCTTGGTGAAGTTGAAGCGCTCTTTGGTTGTTTCCTCGTATAACATGAAATATACAATAATCACTAACACCCAACGGAATTTGATAATCAATATGGGACACAAAGTTTTCTTCATTCACTAAAACCAAGTGTTACGTAGTTGGCTCTTGGTTGACCACTGTCCTCTATTTTGTCACGATTTGCACGATGAAGCAACCCCTCAAGCATTCCATAAATTGTGAACTAGTAACGCTCCGTGCATGCCATGCTGTTCAATTTATATCTGGTAGATTAGAATCTTACTCTGGGGATATTAATGGGTGTATTTGTATTTTAACGTCCTCTCTACAGCTAGGGTCATTTGAAGACGGGTGTCTAAGGAGATAACATCGAACAGAAAGGAAATGAGAAAAGGAAAAATAATATTCCTTGTAGGTGTTTACATGTGAACATGTCCATTGAATGAATGGGTCCACTGAAAAGTTCACCCCTATCCCTCAGACTGATCTGTAATCTGACAGATCTGCGTAGCTTTTGGATTTCCCCTTGCTTAAGTAATTATTACTCTGTACCATTCTTTACCGTTATGTTACTAGAGAATATGTCATATCCCTCTAATGAGAACTCCGAAACTTGAGTCTCATTTCTAAAGTTCATAGATAACACTACACAGACAACAATGAGGTCTAGTTAATGTTCCTTGCAATCTATACTGTACCGTGTTTCAAACTCATAAAGTGTATTCATCAGGCTATCTGCATTCGTGTATAAGCATTTCAACGTTGGTTAGTGATTCTTAGGTTTAAAAATTGTTCTCCTTTGGATTATAATTTTGAGCATTTGTGTTAAATGCATTTTTACGTTTTTACTATTTACATTGCTGTATAACTGTCTTACTTTAACCCCATGACGGGCCCCTCACCACAGATTTCATTTCATTTAGCCTTTATCTTTAGTTTACATATTATGTATGATCCATTTCTCTCTCCTATTTCGTCATATATTGCATTACACTCGTTTTCCGAAGTAGAAGAGCCACTTCTTAGTTAATAAGAGAACTAAGACATCTCTTAGTTTTGGAAGACGTTTCACGAAGTGTGTTATGTTTTTTAAAGCGGTTTTCATCAGTCATCTTGACTCTGTCTCTTTTTCCCCACGACTCAGGTAATTAAGCTGCATTGCATATTTCTCAACACTTACTACTTTCACGATATAGTGAACAGCTGCTGTTTCTGCCTCTGTCCGTTTCACTAAGTCAGGATCTTCTGACTCCTCTATCCCAAAGAAAATGAGGTTCTTAATTTCCCCTATCTTTGCCCTGCCTTAATTCCAGGAGTTTAGCTTACTTTCGCTCTTTGAACCCCTGGAATATGTCAAGACAAATTCAAAAGCTCTGTTCGCGCCATCCTCAATATCCAGGGACCACAGCTCACGTACGCTCTCTGCACCCCTGGAATATGTCATAGCAACATTGAAGGCACGAAGATAGCTGTTTGATTGGTCTCAGGTAAAAGAAAAGCCCTGACCAATCGCTAGGCTGATACCTGTCCTTTTAAGATTACAAAAGGGCGACACCCGTCTTATTTTTTTTACCGTTACGCGACCGCGATATTCTTTTGATGTACGTCAAAGGATCGAACAAGGTGGCGCACACTGAGCTTTCAATTTTGCTATGGAGCGTAAGTGAGCATTACCCCTGGAGTGTCGAGGATATGTTCGCACCGCCTTGTGGAAAATACATGTAGACTAATTTGTATATCACATAATATCGCGTCAGTGTAACGGTAAAATTGGCCGGCTGTGAAGTCGGTTGTCGTTCCTCTGCCATCTTAAAAGGACCTGTATCAGCCTAGCGACTGGTCATTTTTATACCCGAAACAAATCAAATAACTAATTTTGAATTGGTGCCTGGATTCAATTTTGCCATGACATATTACAGGGGTGCAGATAACGTATTTGAGCGAAACTCCTGGAAATTTCGCAATTTTTGATTGAGTTACCTTGGTTTTTCATATTCATTGGATGCTTCATGTTTTAATATTATTTGATGCTTTCGTAATTCCTGTGTAGCAAGTGTAACTTAGGCTTTGCAATGTCCCGATCGAGTTCGTCCCCTGCAGTGCTCTACTTTTCTTCCTTTATTTTCTTTCAGACATTCAAATTTCGAACCACTGTAATTATGTAAGATACATGACTTTATGTGATTTTAATGGAATATTTCTTTTGAAAAGGACATTAACAATTATTTCTTAAATGTAACAGTACATACAATGTATTTATATATGTGGTTCTCTAATAAGATTCTGAAAGCATAAATAAATAATACCCTTGCATTTTTGTACGCTCCTCAATCATTGATCCAGAATCTTACATAACTATTTTTTTATGATTAAATATAAACAAAAAATATAATTGCCATTTCCACGATTAAACAAGATCCCTACCTATTTGACGCAAAATCGACGCGCACGTCGTTAACGTTTTACATAAAACTCATGGAAAGAATAAAAACTGTGTACATGTATAAACTAATTGAACATTTCGGCATAAGGTAGTATAGTTTTCAGAAAGCTGTCCTTGTGAAATAAATATAACTTTCAAATGAAGTTAGTACATTATACAAAATATTCCGGGAAATTATATCATCCGGGCTTCCTCATATACTCGTCACAAGTATTTAAGTATATATACGCTATAAATAGAAATGAATAGGATACCGATGTGACGTCATTTGACAGAACACACCAAAACAACATGGAGGACGATTTGCCTCTGCTGGTTTCGGTTTGTATAGAATCACACGATCTGTTTCCTCATATTTAAGTGTTTTCCCGTTTGTGTTAAATATCCTTTTGGTTGAACGACAAAATTGTATCCGTGACCTGTGACTTAAACGAAAATTTGAGATCACGGCCCGTCAAACGCAAATTTCAGACAGTGACAATGATGCATGATCATTTTTCTGTGAGTGTGTCAACTGTGTGTGTGTTTACAGGTATAATTTACAGATGAATTGTATTCTTATATCTGTATACTACCATATGTCTACGTTAGCCCGAGTGTCTCTGGCTGCAACACCAGGCGTACGTCTATCTGTCAAAATGTCAAAGTCTGGTGTCGGGGGCCAGAGGAAACTCGGGCTAGTGTTGGAGCAAGGGGGAAACCATGGAACATAATCTGTCATTATTGGGTAACTGCATAATGAAAAGTCACTTAGTCTTGGTTGTAATTGAATCTTCTATACGTCCATCAAAGCCTGTATAGTTTTTTAAAATTAATTATTGAGTCTGTGTATTTGATGGGTGTCTCGAGCTCAATAATTCACATGCAAGGCCTGCTGAATTGATTTGCACTCAACAGAAAACATTCTTTATGTGACAGGTTTTAATTGTGCATAGGGTTTCGTACTTGCCAGATGGAATTTCCTTTTAGCTCGGTCGGTAAAGCGATGGAATGGGAATCATGAGGTCGCATGTTGAACTGGTTTGATCCCAGGTGGAAGCACACTGCTCTCTTTCCCGTATATATACTTGTGGTATGAAGTTGGAATGTTGGATTAGTGATTGTCTGAGGGGGGGGTATAGGCATATAATTCGGTAAAACTTTTAAAATAAAAACTTACATAATCATCACTATTTATAATTCTAGGTAAATGCCTTGTCTGATTATCTGTACTGTTCGATATGCATGAATGTGATGAAGGAGACGGTGATGACCAGCTGTGGTCATCGCTACTGCAGCCGCTGTATCAAGGAATGGGTGGACCGCAACCACAAGTGTCCCTGCTGTAACAAAGCCGTCACAATGACTGAGGTGTTCAAGGACCACCAGTTTGACTGCCTCATAGGTAAGAACCATCAGTTGGATTACTAAATCTTTCCCCAGTTCCCTTTCCACTAGTCCGAATTATTTTTACGTTTTATTGACTTTTTTTTAAATCGATCTGGCGTCGATTAACGTCAGAACTCTGGCCCTCTATAACATGTGGGAAATAAGCGACCCGCGCTAGGGTCTCTCTTCAAACTGATATTTTAGAAGCAAATCATCACTTTCACACACATGTTGCACAAGGATCGAAAGAGAAAAGTTAATAAAACGTCAGAATAAATCAGACTACCTTCCCTCCTGCTTCAGTCAAGTTCCCTCTTTCCCTTGTCAATTACAAATAAAAATTTCAATTGAAAAAGAACGTGTAAGAAATTCATTCATGAATACGCAAAGCTAATATATATTTCTGCGATGCATACATATTACAAAAATACAAACAAGCGTCGAGACGTTATGTGTGTAATGTATTGTTGTCCGCATAGCCTCATAATACACCTATGTACTGATGTAAGTCGTACAACACCTGTGTGATCGTGGCAATTATTACACTCACGTATATGTCATTATTTCTGTATCTTGCTCGTAATTCCTCAAGAAGAACTTTATCGTCAAGTTTCGCCAAAGTGGCGAGATCTTCCACTTTTCCAAGGGCGGGTCTGCCGTCCATATTCTTCAATAGAGTTATATTGTAGATGCAATATTAATACTTCCTGTTAGCTTGCTACCCGTTTACTTGTGCTGTTTGTCGGTAAGTGAAGCAGAAAGGTTGACTATTTTTAGATCAATAACACATTTGATAGGTCATCCCCGATGACGGTCTACTCAGGTAAAAATAACATTACATATTGTCAAATCGTGATTGTGGGAAAAGTGTCAAACCACACCCTGGCCAAAACACGTCGTGTTGTAATCAGCCACAAAACATATATGACGTCAATTATGGTTGACGCTAATCTAGAAACAAAACTCCATTATATATGTGTCACCTATAAACATACATATGTATATACAATAGTTAATATTTGAAATGAGCAACACAGACACGCGCAAATGCACGTTTCAAAGCAGATTGCAGATGTCACAAGTACGTTTGAAAAACCCCCAAAAAAACCCAGTGACATATAAAAAAATGTACAAATGTACATGTAGTAAAAACTTAGGATATACACTATCTATCATAAAAATATATCATACGGTTCCCGTTTCAATATCCCCCGCCAATTTGCCGGGAAAACACTATACCCAACTACGAAAACTATATGGTGTGAATACTACAGTGACCAACGTCACTGGTTCTCCTACCATAGGAGGGGAGGAAGATACCTAGAGGAAGAATTCCAGAGTCCTTCCTTCTCCCTCAAACCCTTCCCTCTTCTCTCACTCCCACTTTCCTTGTTTTCTGTCTGTCTCCCAGTCTCATTCCATTCCTGTCATTCCTAATTTGTCTTCCCTTTTCCTCTTGTCCCTCTTTTCCTACTCTTTCCTTTCATCTGTTCTTCACGCCTTTCCATTTTTTTTCTCTGTCTCCCACTGTTCTCTTCTCTTTCCAACCCTTCCCTCCTGTCTCCCTCCCAACATTTACTTTTGCCCTAATTCTCTCTCCCTGCCATCCCCTTGCCTTTTTGTTTCACTCTATCTTCCTTGACCCTTGTATTTTCTGTTATTATTTATCTTTGTCTTCAGACAGCTGCCAGGAAGTGCAAAATCCCAATTAATCTACCAATCAATCCTAGTTAATGTTTTAAGCCTGGAATAAATTAATTTATAAGCAAGAGTCTGCCGTGTTGTACGTCTACCCTTCGTCTGAATTCATTGTTAAAAGGCTAAATTGCATTGTATACAAGTTTTCATTGACCTTTGTCACTATTTACTCTTTCTTCACCAGATGCCATTAACCAGGAGAAGACTAAGTCAGAAGCGAAATACTTTGAGTCCCTCATTAATTCAGGTACGTGCATTGATTCCTGATTGACAGGGAGCTATAGGAACACCATCCTCGATACTCCAGGGGTTACGCTCACTTTCACTCTCTAGACCCCTGGAATATGCATAGCAAAATTGAAGGAATGCGGCTAGCTATTTGATTGATTTCAGGTTAAAAAAATCCTGACCAATCACTAGGCTGGTGCTTGCTCTTTGAATATTACAGTGGAGGACACCCGACTTCAAAGCCAGACCGCGAGATTCTTTTGATGTACATCAACGGGTCAAACTAGTCTTCTCGACTTATCCACAAGGTGTTGCACACTGAGCCTTCAATTTTGCTATGACATATTCCAGAGGTGCAGAGAACAAAAGTATTCAAAACCCCTGGCTATCGAGGATGTAGGAACACAGAGCAGGTGAAATTATGTCATAAGTTTATAGCTTGTATGGTGTCATACCTTTTAAATCAATTGAACTTATTAGGGCCCCGTATCGGAGATACGGGTGCCCTAAAGTAATCACTCTGTCTGTCTGTCTGTCCGTCCACAAATTTTGTTCCTGCCTGATAATTTTGGTATCTATGGACTGATATACATGAAACTTGGTCAAGATGTTCAGTTCACAAAAATACACATTGAGGTCAAAGGTCAATGTTATTAGGTTCAAAGGTCAAGGTCAAATTTTACATCTTTTAACTGATGAACATTTTGTTATAACATGATGAAGCAAATTTGATCAGAATTAAAGAAGGAGTCGACTGACCAAAGGTCAAGGTCATTGGGTCAAAGGTCCAGGTTAAATTTTGTATCTTTTTACTGGTGAACATTTCGCTATGACACTTTGAAGCAATGTTCCTTAAAATTAAACAAGGAATCAATTGAATAAAGGTCAAGGTCACTGGGTCAAAGGTTAAGGTTACATTTTGTACCTTTTCCCTGATGAACATTTTGCTATGACATTATGAAGCAATGTTGTTCAGAACTTAACACAGAGTCAACTGACCTTAGGTCCAGGTCACAGGGTCCAATGGGTCAAGTTTGATGATATTAAGAAGTAAAGTTGGTCTGAATTAAAGAATAAGTCAACTGACCAAAGATCAGGGTCACTGGGTGAATGGTCAAGGTCATTTGGGTCCAAAGGTCAAAGACAAAGTGGATCTCTGACTTTGACCCTGGCTCTTGATGGAGGAGGTATATAAGGTTAAATAAAACAAATCAAAGCTAACAAATGAGTGTTGCACTGGTATTTACATTTCTGTTAGCCCAGCAAATATGGAGGTCGAAGGAAACTAGACTCACATCATAGTACATGTAAAATGTATATTTTGCTTCCTTGCGATTCTTTTTGAAGTCCAAATGTCAAACGTCAAGTTCAGCTATATGCGCAGATCACTTCTTGATGATTATGGGGGATATATTGCCACAAGACGGGGCCCTTACTGACCTGTCAGTGTTCTAGTTGAAATATATTAAATAAGGATCCCTGCTCAACTGCCAAAAACTGTATGACTGATTGCGTTTTTCCCAGCATGACTATAGTTTTATTGAATAGCCTTTGACAAGAAAATTCTACCTTAAAGAGCATTTATGAAAAAAAATATAACTGTATGTCTAGGTCATCTTCACTGGGTTCAGTTCAAACAATGCACTTAGTAAATATCATGAAATCTTTAAAAAGTATTTAAATGGCATTTTGTTCTAAAAGTGGTTCACTCAAAGATGCTTTTCATAATAATAAATATTTTCCTTTGCAGCTGTAAGCGAATCACACACCACAACGACACTTTCTCCAATAGAAACAGTTTTGAAAGGTAACACACACTGGTATTACTCTTTGTACCTAAATCACAGGTTAACTGTTACGTGTATTTGAATGACTATACTTTTGTCTTGAAATCATACTTGCTTTGTTCCATTTTCTACCCCATAGCATTTCATGTATACCATCCACTTCAGTAAACAAAAGGTAATAAAATCAACAATAGCATTTTGGAATTGAATGCAGGAGATTTTTTTTTTAGCTTAACCTTGTAGAGTCCAAGTGAGTCTACACGGCTGCATATGTCAACAATTCTTTATCTGTTGAGTTTTTCTAAAGTATTTGTACTAATGAGGGGCATGGTCTTTATAGAACCAAACGGACAGGGCCTGACAGGGGTAAATCTTGAGAGAGACAGATTTTATCTTCTGAAAACAAGAATAATGAAAATAAAATAACTGAATTGTATCTGTTTACAGACCACCTGAAAGAGAGCTTAGCTTCCCACGAGAGATATTTCCAGGTTTGTACATGTGCATCAGTTATATTAAGTCTGTGTTTGATATGTAATATAGTAAAATAAGTAAAGACATTTATCGAGAGTTATGTCCCATGATCTAATTTTGTTCACAGGCCTATCACTGAAATGTAAGTTAACAGAATGTGTTTCTCAATTCTGAGAAATTGAAAGACATCACTCTTTCAAAGTGAAAAAATGTAAGGCCTTTCTCCATCGATGATTGTACTTTTGTTAAAAAAAACAGTAAAATGTTTTGATTTGACCAGTCTTAGCCAGTTATGAGCTCTAAGAGTGATTGACAGTGTTGGTAACTTGAAGCATTGAATTACATATATTATAATTGGATGTCATATTTTTCATGCAGTCAAACCAGATGCTATTTATAACTGGTACATATGTAATAATTTGTATTCATTGCCAGTGCTTGAGGGAGACATGTGCCACGTCCCCCAAAGAGGGCAACAAATAAATTATTTTACTGAAATAGGGTATTAAAGAATCGGGGAACTAGGACCAGGGAAACTTAAGTGCAAGAAGGAAACAAAGTCATGTGATCAACGTGATCTTATCAAATATGGTACAAAAAGAGATGAAATATAATAATGTCTGTTATGCACGTTTCAGAAGCTGAGGAATGAGCTAAACGATCAGGAGAGGAGACTGGAGGTAGCGTGTGAGAACACAATAACCGACCTGGCCTCTCATGGTCTGTCACAGGAAGGTAAACAATTGTTACCACCGCAAGTTTAAATAACTAGTATTGTAACAACACTGCTAGGCTTTGTCACAGGTAGCTCAGGTATTGTGAAAGCAAAATCAAATTCACCTGGTATATCACAAAAAGGTCAACAGCAAGCTCAAGAAATTGTTACATCAAAGTTTTCCAATTTCATTTCAGGATGAAGCTTTGTCACAGCCAGCTAAAATATTGTCAAGATTAAGTCTTTGTTATATTAACTCATTCACCCCTAGTGTCACATTTGAACCATGCCAAATCATAGACTCGGCAAGTCCAGTTTAAATATGTAGTGGTGAATGAGTTAAGATAAAGCTTCTGCACATTTAATGAAACCTTCATCACAGCAAAGTTGACTAAAATCACGGCAAGGTTTACAACAAAGTCAGCCATGTCACAATTTTACTGAAACAATATTTGAATTTATTATCAACTAATTATTGTTGATAAAATTTTCATTTGCCCTACAGAAAAGGTCATGAACTTTGATTTAGTTAAATGGGGGGCTCATTTTTGAAGCAGACAACTTCAAGACGTTCTTATTTTATCAGAGCTGACACAGCAAACAACAGACTTACAGAATCGACTGTCACATCAGAAGGAGGCTCTACAGGACGAAATGGAATCTTGTACTAAACTGGTGGCAGAATCTTACAATAGGTAAGTCATTAGGACACTTTTACCAAGTAAGTGACAGTAAGTCACCTGGACACTTGTACCAGGCTAATGACATCTATAAGTGACCTAGACACTTGTACCAGGCTAGTGACATTAAATCACCTGGACACTTGTTCAAGGCTAGTGACAATGAGTCACCTGGACACATGTCCCAGGCAAGTGACAGTGAGTCACCTGGACACTTGTACCAGGCTAATGACAGTGAGTCACCTGGACACTTGTACCAGGCTGGTGACATCAAGTCACCTGGACATTTGCATCAGGTTGGTGACAGTGAGTCACCTGGACACTTGTCCCAGGCTGGTGACATCAAGTCACCTGGACACTTGTACCAGGTTGGTGACAATGAGTCACCTGGACACTTTTACCTGGCTAGTGACAGTGAGTCACCTGGACACTTGTACCAGGCTAGTGACAGTGAGTCACCTGGACACTTGTACCAGAATAATGACATCAAGTCACCTGGACACTTGTACCAGGCTAATGACAGTGAGTCACCTGGACACTTGTACCAGGCTAGTGACAGTGAGTCAACTGGACACTTGTACCTGGCTAGAGACAGTGAGTCACCTGGACACTTGTACCAGGCTGGTGACATCAAGTCACCTGGACATTTGCACCAGGTTGGTGACAGTGAGTCACCTGGACACTTGTCCCAGGCTGGTGACATCAAGTCACCTGGACACTTGTACCAGGTTGGTGACAATGAGTCACCTGGACACTTTTACCTGGCTAGTGACAGTGAGTCACCTGGACACTTGTATCAGGCTAGTGACATCAAGTCACCTGGACACTTGTATCAGGCTAGTGACAGTGAGTCAACTGGACACTTGTACCAGGCTAGTGACATCAAGTCACTTGGACACTTGCAGCAGAGTAGTGACCATCACATTGAAAGTTGTACTAAGCCAGGGACAGTGCCCTTTATGATAAAGTCACATGGACACTTCACTCGACTTACTATTGATAGTGTCCTACATAAATAAGTCACATGGACACTACCACCTCTTGTAGCTCACGAAATCATGAACAAAATGAATTCAATAGTTAACAAGACACCTGTATCAAAATGGTAATTTATTAATTATTTATAGTTCAAATATTGACCACCTAAATTGAGTAATTCATGAGCTTTTATATATAAACGGATAAACAATCATTGATTTCATAGATCTTATTGTGTGATTATGATTATCAATTTATATTTCGTTTATTCAGATTGTATTTTGAATGTTTACTACAGATACCTGACAAGTCACCTCCCCAAACTAGATGTGATCCCTGTTAAAGTGGGCATCACTATACTGGACAAGAACATGAAGGTGTCGGATGTTGTCTTTAAACCCGCCGACAGGTTAGTCTGTAGGCCTCAATCCCCTTTTATATGAGCTAACAATATTGTTAGCTTAACTGGCCAAAAGAGACAGGTAAGCTTATGCTATACACTATGACTTCTGTCTGATTATGCTGTGTTTGGACCTCGTCAACACTTGATTTTTGAATCGTTTCTCCTGAGTATCCAAGGTCTAAGGGAAATGATAGTTAGCCAGCAGCATACTAAGATAAAGGTTGTTTAATTTGTTTAAAGGAAATTCCTTGATCTTTTATTGTCACTGGAGTCAAATTTGTAAAACCTTTCTGCTGATGGCCCATAAGAACTTGTGTAGTGATATATATAGCTTTTAGCTTGTTTGAATAACAGACAATCAACACTTTTTTTAAAGAAATGACCTGGATGATGTTTAAGGTCACATGGGTAAAATATGTTAAAATATTCCAACAAAAATTTAAAGAGTACAGTGTAATAATATTTAGCTTGTAAAGTATGCTTTCTTGCTACTTTGTATAAATTTGAACTTGACCCAATTTGAAACCAAATTTGTGATATTTACTTCTGTTTGGCCTTATTGGTATCCCAACAGTGCTACCCGAGGAGCTATAGGAATTTGCACTGTATCTATCAGTCCGTCAGTTGGTGTGTCACTTGGTGACCTTCTTTATACATTATAAAGTTATGTCCCTTCGTTGACTAAATCACTTTGTCTAGGGTAATATAAAGAGCTTCATATACCAAAGTTTGTATGGGAGTACCTCTTGGAGTAGTGGAGTGTCAGGCACTCGAGAGCAGGTTTTGTTCTTCTCTGAACACAGAGTTATGGCCCTTTGATACCAAAGTTTGCATGGGATGGGTGACAACGAATTGCATGCAATACTCTACCTTGTTCATAATAGAAATGATTCTTAAAAGCATCGCTGTCAAACCTCCCTCATCAGGAGGGAGACTTCCCCATTTTTACCAAAATTTACCAATCTCCCTCGAAACTCCCTCATTCAAGTCCAAACTCACACAAACTCAAAATCTGTATCCTGTGGTAAAATGATCTCGTAGTTACTGCAGTGTGTGTAATGATCATAACAGGTGTGTCTGAATCAAATGAATGCTTTTTGGAGTTATTTTGATACATAAAATGGGAAAGATATATTGAGCAAAGCAGTTTCAGTTGTGTTTCACACACTTTTCTCCCTCATTAGTAATGTGGAATGAGGGAGATCTCCCTCATAGGAGGTTTCAGAGGTTGACACCTATGGAAGATTCATCTTGATTTTGGTAGTATAAAAACTTTCTGAAGAAACTTAATTTAATAATTGTGTCCGTTGACAATATTTTGATAATTGACTATTTAAAATTGCAACAATAACATGTGTGATTTTACTTTTTTTTTCTGAGGAAACTCTATATATGTATTGGTTAAATATTGTGCCTAACCTAAGCTGTGTTCTGTTGAAGGATTGGAGACAAGGTGAAGGCCTCTGTAGAAGCTACCATGGCAGCCAGGAGTGACCCAGTAGGGGAATGGCCCGAGGAGCTACATTTTGTGTTGTTTGGGTATGTGTCTAATACATGTAGTTTATAATCCTTCATAACAATATTATAAACAAGGCTTTATCACAATCAGGGTGATTGTTATTTCTTTCCTTTTCATATATGCCAAAAAATATAAATGTGTGTTTCAGATAATATGCCTGAAAAATAAGGTAGGCAAATAATTGAATTTCAATTTCATTTTTTTTTTACTTTCATGGATCAGTAGTATGTTTTATATCAAGTTTACAATGCATTTCTATACTTTACAATGGCTATTAGTTTGTCAAGAAAAGGGTCAGACTCCCAGAACAGGAAGCAAGTACATTTTAATGAGTGGCTGTGACCTTTAGTAGGTTTCCGTGAATAAGTTGGTAATAACATTTCTAGGGTCAACAGGAAAATCTAGGGTAGGTCGGAATACCTGCAACACAAAAAAAAATTATGTCCATATTATTATTTTTAATTTTCAAAGAATATTTTCCAATCACAAAAATTGGTAAGGGTCAAACATTCCATTTACATAAAAACCAAAATCAAAATTATTAAAGAAAAAAGAACGATAAAAATTGAGACTGAAATCTGCTATGTTAGAAAAGCTGGTGAATTTTCACTGCCAAAAAATTATGGAAAATCTTATTGAAAGGGTGTCCCCCTAATGTGGTTGCACAGGTCACATAGCTATTTAATCTAATACAACATTAAGTCGAGCATTGAATTAACAAAAAGTTGGTCCGTAACATCTTTTTTTAGTTTAGTTTTTTGTTTTCTAGACCATTTGTCAAGTGTAGCCATTTTGAAATGCAGCAGATGGTGAGAGAAATATTGCATGATGGGAAGGTGTATCAAGACGTCAAAGTGTTGGACAGACAGAGCCGTCCAGTCCTGGAGCATTCCATGGTCAGTAAGGTTCCCTAATGTGTGCTGGCAGCTTATTGTAATTTACCGGTATATGTTAACTTGAGCTCTTCAAGAATTGTCCCTATGTTAGGGATGGGATACTTTTTCAGATGCCCCACCAGCCATTAAACATTTCATCTTGATCAGGAATTGAAGCTAGATCTGGATTTGACCCTGCTACTCATAGAAAAGCAGGTATTCCCCAACTCCCCGACACTAATACTTATGGAATATCCCTAGGTAAATTTTCGACCTTTTAAAAACCAAAATGTGTCGATCTGTAATATAAAATTTTCAAGTAACATCTGTTTTATAAAAAATTTGAGTTTGATAAGCATGATAACCAATTATTACATTTTTTTTTCTATCATGAAAATAAACGGCTGTGAAACATGACATCAAAAAGCAAATCATACTATAAAAAACATTGATGTTTATACGGGATGTCATTATCATTATATCGGCTGATGAAAGCTTACTTCCTTTGTTTTACCTATGTATGGCTTAAGCGTGAAATGTTGTCTGTCATCTTGTGTGTTTTCTACATGTGTATGTAGCTCAGGAACGAAGAACATATGCAATATGGGACCTAAAATAAAACATTGTTTGTTTACCATTTTCTGACTCAGAATGTCAATTTTTAGTAGGTCAGGTAAAATGTTATTTAATTTTGTCTTCAGAATAGTTTTAGAATTTCCTATGCCACTAACGATCAGAAAACAAAGTTATCAAGGGCTTGATACTAAAATAACCCCCTGATCAATCTCACATGTTTTCAATGATAGACTTTTGTTGTGGTGCATGAATATGTTGTTATATGGACCTGAGAAAGTGATATTTACTATGACAAGTCTATGTCACCTCATATTCACCGAAATAAAATGCTTTAGTTGTTGTATCCGATAGAAAAATATATTTTATGATATTAAACAAGATAAGAATGTATGAAAATTGTCAGGAGAAAAATACTGCATTTAGCAGAGAACACTGTGACCTAGCAGTTGAAGTGACGTCATAAAGGGAATTTTGACCAGCTTCTGTATCTCTCTAATTGCAGAAGCCCGGCAGTGAGATTGCCATTTATGGTAAGATAATCCTGGAGAGTGACATGCCGAAGAAGTGTTTCCAACAAGTGTTTGAGGAGGGGAATCCCCAGTCTGTCGACTACTTCTGCTGCAAACAGTGTGCATTTCAGTGTAAGTGTGTTATTGTCTGAAAGATAGGTACCCAAAGATTTCTGGCAAAATTTCACCATTCAAAACATTTAAAGCTTTATGGTTATTTTTTCCAGTATTAAAGAAGTTCTGATCTTACTATTGATACAACAAGTTAAAGAAAATTCTGCAGAAAAAATGGTAGAATAATAAAAAGAAATAGTTATATTTAGTTTCTGACTTAAATTGGGCCATGTATGAATGTCGCGCTGCACTTACTTTCACTATTACCGGGTATGACTTTTCGTGCTATTTATACTAGGGTACCTATTTGGTAAACGAAAAAGGTAAACAATATGGTTGAGGAAAGTTATTGTCGATAAATCTTGGCTTAGAGATTTAAATACTTAGAATGACTTACAGAAATCCTACTTTCTGTTTAAAAACTGGGGGGAAAGGGTGGATTATGTACATATGAAAATGCACTGTCAGTTTCTTTCCATTCTTTTTAAAAGGAATGTGGCAATTCCTAAAAATGCAGGAAAAACTCTTAAATAGTGTTATGTAAATGCTTTTCTTGTTTATGCTGATGTAGAAATTATTTACAGGGAATGAAATTTGAATTTTTAACTCATTCACCCCTACAGGTTTAAACTAAACTAACCTGGTCTCTGATTTGGTAAGGTTCAAATGTGACTTTAGGGATGTATCGGTTAATGCATGATTGCTTCATATAGCTGCACTTCTGAACCAGCAACTGCCTGTAACATTAGCAAGTGTTTGTATTAATGTAAGGACTGTTAACCTATAATACAGTACATGTATGTATGGTATGCTGATAACTGTAGGCTTGACACAAAGTTTTGTTAATTACTTTGAACTCGACATTGAGGTAAAGTTCACCTGTATGTGTGTTGATGTTTCAGGGATCTGCAGGTCATGCATGGAAGTCTGTCACCAAGGTAGGTGTCGACAAACTGTACGGTTTTATAACTACAGTCAAACCTTCTGTCAAAAAGTCTTTAGGACCATTCAAAACCTTTAACTCATTCACCCCTGAAATTTCATCATGAACTGTTCCAACCTATGAATTGGAAGAGTTCAAATGTGTTTTAAGGGGGAATGAGTTAAATAACTTAAAGATGGGTGTATATCATCATGATATGTATAAAGGGATTCAATAGTAGAACCTGTCCTATCTTGCACCTGGATTAAATAAGCAACCTTTCATAATGGACATTCCTTAAAGAACTCCCTTAATGTAATTTTGAAAAGTAACAGTTTTATTTCCTTCCACCAAAAAATAATTTCAATCTTTGCTTTTGCAATATAACTTCAGCTATAAATATCAAACTCTGTTACAAAGCTGACTGTCTTATTTGGGTATTTACTTACAAAATCTTGTTTTATATATAACATAATGATCCTTATTTTGTAGGCCATGAAACAGTACCCTACATAATGAACCACCAACCAGCATGGTAAGTGTCAAATATACCTACCTCATACATACTTACTAACAACTACTATCATACTAACAACTACTATCATAAGTACTGTGTCAGATTTAAGAAGCATCCCCTCCCTTAGAAGCACCCCCCTTCCCTTTTCAAGTGTCCCATCCCTTCACCATAATTTGATAACTTAAAAAGGCTCTTTTGGGTTACTGCATACCTGTCAAACCTTCACCCATGAAATTTATTTTTGCCTTCACATTTGATTACTAGGTATGTGTGTTATGCTGTTCACTGTAATGATAAATTTGCCCTCATTACGGAGGGCAAAGAAAGCGAAAATTAAACAGCAGTAAAAAATTCTCGATATACTGTATTTTTTCAGAGAATATAGGAAGGTTCTACAATTAATCTAGCATCAAAGGTGCTTATTAGATGGATTGCGGTAACTATTTTCATTGCTCTTCATGACCTGTTAAATTCTTGATAACATATCATACACTTTTCAAGCTATCACAGTCATATTGCTTTCAGGCACCACTTGCATCGGTTTTCACAGTAGAAAAAATAAAAGATACAAGATCAATTGCCTATTTAGAGAATGCAATATTCTACCAATATACCGATATAAAAAGAGTAAAATAATAAATCTCTGATGGTTTCATTAGCTCACCTGGCACAAGCTTCTGATATTTTCTCTCTGTTGTAGGGCCTGCTGTTACTGTCCGAAGAAGAAGACCTGTCTGATCCAGCCCCCACCTGGTACCCGGTAGTTGGGCCATGTACCTCAGACAGCAAGACAGCTGTAGAGCCAGAATCTCGATGGGACAGTGCTGTAAATTTCTTTACTGATGCTGTAACTACAGTTATGCTGTAATTTTTCAGTGTTATGTGACCAGGAACTCTTCATGTCAAATGGTATGGGGCCAAGGTCACACCTAGGCCAAGGAGAGGTCAAGACCAATGAACTGATTTATATATGTTGATAAGGAATACCTGCTGTAGTGCTATGATTTGTCATTTCGAAGACAGCATTTGTGTGTTGCCTCATATCACTGCTTAATTATAAAGATAACATCAATGTTAAATCTTATAGGGTCATGTTCTGGGCATAAACTAGACATCATTTATTTGTGTCTGCACTCATACGGTCATGAACTTAAAATATAAAGACATCATCAGTGTCTAATCATAGGGTCATATTATATAGACATTGGAGTCTGCTCATTGAGCTATGAATTGATAATGTAGACATATTAATTGGTGTCTGATCACTAGGCCTTTTGTCTACTTATAGAATCATGAACTTATATAGACATCATTTGTGTCTAATCATAGGGCCATGAACCTATGGTGTCTACTCCTAGAGCTATGAACTGATCATAGAGGCACATTGGTGGGTGTCTAATCCTTAGGCCTTTGACATGTCATATAGACATCATGTGTGTCTAAATATAGGACCATGAACTTGTACCTTTAGACACATCATCTGGTTTCTACTCATTGCGTCTTTTACACATCTTATAGACATTGTCTACCCAAAGGGCCATGAACTTACCGTTTATACAACATTGATGCTTATATTTATAGTGCCATGACCAAGTCACATCAACATCTTTTTCGTCTTAACATAGGACTGATCATATTTACTAAATAGGCCATGACTTGTCATAATGGCATCGCTGGTGTTTATTGATAGGGTCATGAACTTATCTCAGATACATTTACATGTGTTGTGTCATTTCATAGGGGCTATGAACTGATCATATATACAGCATTGATATATCTGTCATTAAGTCATGAACTGACCATGTAGACAGCATTGGTGTCAAATCACAGGGCCGTGAACTTATCGTAGAGACTGCATTGATGTGTATTAGCGCAGGGCTGTGAACTGATCATAGTTAGTGACAGCATTGGTGTCTGTTCATAGGGTCATGAACTGATCATAAAGACAGCATATATTGGTGTCTATTCAAAGGGCTGTGAACTGATCATAATTTAGTGACAGCATTGGTGTCTGTTCATAGGGTCATGAACTGATCATAAAGACAGCATATATTGGTGTCTATTCAAAGGGCTGTGAACTGATCATAATTTAGTGACAGCATTGGTGTCTGTTCATAGGGTCATGAACTGATCATAAAGACAGCATATATTGGTGTCTATTCAAAGGGCTGTGAACTGATCATAATTTAGTGACAGCATTGGTGTCTGTTCATAGGGTCATGAACTGATCATAAAGACAGCATATATTGGTGTCTATTCAAAGGGCTGTGAACTGATCATAATTTAGTGACAGCATTGGTGTCTGTTCATAGGGTCATGAACTGATCATAAAGACAGCATATATTGGTGTCTATTCAAAGGGCTGTGAACTGATCATAATTTAGTGACAGCATTGGTGTCTGTTCATAGGGTCATGAACTGATCATAAAGACAGCATATATTGGTGTCTATTCAAAGGGCTGTGAACTGATCATAATTTAGTGACAGCATTGGTGTCTGTTCATAGGGTCATGAACTGATCATAAAGACAGCATAAATTGGTGTCTATTCAAAGGGCTGTGAAATGATCATAATTTAGTGACAGCATTGGTGCCTGTTCATAGGGTCATGAACTGATCATAAAGACAGCATATATTGGTGTCTATTCAAAGGGCTGTGAACTGATCATAATTTAGTGACAGCATTGGTGTCTGTTCATAGGGTCATGAACTGATCATAAAGACAGCATATATTGGTGTCTATTCAAAGGGCTGTGAACTGATCATAATTTAGTGACAGCATTGGTGTCTGTTCATAGGGTCATGAACTGATCATAAAGACAGCATATATTGGTGTCTATTCAAAGGGCTGTGAACTGATCATAATTTAGTGACAGCATTGATGTATATTCATAGGGTCATCAAGCTATCATATCGACATCATTAATGTCTACTCATTGATGTCTCAGGATGTTGAACTTAATAATGAATCTATGAAACTGAAACAAAAAATAAATACCCTTTCTATTCTTCGTGTGTTCTTGTTATACTTTTTTGTCAGTGTCTGTGTAAGAAATTGACTGCAATAATGCTGAAACAATATTTGAATTTGCTCCAACTCTCTGTCCATGAATCCACAGGATTTAGTTGATGGCTCTTCTTGCTTTTCTTTACCCAATTGCATTTGCAGAAAATGATCCCGAGTCCTTTTGCGGCTTACCAATTCAACATTTCGACAGAGTAAGTCGTTATGTCAAGCTTCAGACAAATAAGCTCTTACCCTTTCACCACTGTAGACCATAATGGTCTCGTCCAGATCAATGTATGGTAGATTCTACTAACGTTACCTAGGGGTGAAAGGGTTAAAATCCACTTAGATGCTCTACACACTATGCTTATTCCTCTCGTCTGTAGAAGAACAGTAAGTATAGTTGTGCATGTTCGGTTTTAAGATGGATTGGAAATCAAAACGGCCCCCAGGCAGCCATCATGGATATTGATTGTCAAGTTTGTTACTGCCGTCTCGTATCAGTTATATTGTCTTTGATTTTGTGTGGAATATTGCATGTAAAGTCTGTCACCTTTAATTTTCAGAAAGTACTAAAGGCATCATCATGAAACATGGTTTCGATGATCCCCAGATCATACTTAAATTTGAGTTATATAGAGGGGAAACACACACAAAAGCCCCGCAGGTAACCATCTTGGATTGTGTTGCATCTTTCAGGAGCTAAAAAAAGGGGTATTGAGAAATTTGTGATCCAATTCAACTCTTAAGTCAATCTTAAGAACAAAAAAGTCATCAGTCAGTCTGCCATCTTGGATTTTGTAAGGATATTATATGTATGAAAAACGTACGAAAGAGATCATGATGCTTGAAAACCCTTTGTCCACAGGTACTTTCACAGGTATAAGAGCATCATATAACAGTAACTTATTTTGATACATGTATATTGAAAAGTTTAGAAAATTGAAAGGAATGAGGTGTTAAAGTTGATGACAAAATCATAAATATATCTACACTCATAAAAACAATTTACAATCTTGTTTTCATTTTATTTGCAAAATCGTGTTAATTTCAAATATTTATAATTTTTAACCAGTTTGGTCCAATTGATAAAGTAATATACAGTCATATTCAAAAATCTTCTTCTCCAAAACCCCTGAACCAATTTAAATGAAATTTTGCTGGGACCTTCCATGGACAAAGGTCAACAAAAAAGTTGCCGGTTTAGTCCTAAGCCCCCAGGGGCCTGAGAGGCGGGGCCAAAAAGGGTCAAATTGACTAAAATTTCAAAAATCTTCTTCTCCAAAACCCCTGAACCAATTTCAATGAAATTTTGCAGGAACCTTCCATGGACAAAGGTCAACAAAAATAGTGGCCGGTTTAGTCCCAAGCCCCCAGGGGCCTGAGGGGCGGGGCCAAAAAGGGTCAAATTGACTAAAATTTCAAAAATCTTCTTCTCCAAAACCCCTGAACCAATTTCAATGAAATTTTGCAGG